ATGATATGTGTATCACACTGTGTATCATTTGTGTATCACATATGTATCATATTTGTATCAATTGTGTATCACATGTATATCCATGTATATATGTGTGTGAGATACATGCGTGATACATGTTCGATACATGTGTCGCAAAAGATTTTTTTGAACTCGATTTAGTTACGAATTTCGATGCAAAACCAGTCCAAATCACCTCCAATCTTCCTCAAATTTTGTATATTGACTTATCTATATATTTTCAATGAATTTCAACTATACCCATTGAAAAAATTCCTTTTTTGTTTAGATTTTTGGAATATTGTATAGATTTTTGTATTTCATCACCTTATTTTTCACCCCGTCCATGAAATTTCCTTTCCGTCTTGTATCTAGTGTTGCTAATCACGTTCAAAAATATGGAAGGTGATTTTTGCATGTGATTCTTTGAGAGAAAGAACCCAATTATTTGGTTTTTCAATTTTTGTTGACTAGTTTTGGTAAGTCTATGACTAATGGTTAGAGGTTGGTAAGTTGAGATTTATTTGGGACATTTGTGTAAGTTTCCCAAAGTTAAACTCATTGGTTATCCATTAGTTACCCATTTTCTAAATGGATAATATAGTTCTTATCCATATTTGACCCGTTTTTAAAAAGTTCATTATTCAACCCATTTTTTTTATATAGGTGGTTAACTATTTTTTTTTTTTTTGATTATTTTGCCACCACTAGATGAAATATATAGAAGGCCGAATATTAGGCCAATCGCCGATCATATTCCTATAAAGTTGAAAGTTTAAAGGACACCCGCCCTAAAAATACAGAACTTTAATTTGCTTTCACCTTACTTATGGATATGGAAAAGTCAGGTGTCACATACCTCGCCTAACAAAGCTATAATAGGCATTTACTTAGGTACGAGTACAACCTGAGTGGGTACCGGTTCAATAAATATACATAACATTAACAACTCAACCACTTATATGTAAATTCCAAATTAGTTTAAGTCATCCATACGAATTTTCTATTTTTGTTCGATTCTATTCTGTCTCTCTTAACACTATAACATGTCAAAATATCCATTTTATACTAATAGTCCCTCTTTCTTTAAAATTGTTGTTCCACTTATTGTCATAAAAGGCAGTAGATATAATAGTAATACTTTGTTGGGCCGTTTGGCTGGGAAATAAGTTATTCCATGATTTTATCCCGAGATTAGTTATTCTGGGATTAATTATCCCATTCTAGCCAGAGATAATTTACTCTAGATCCGAGGTAGAAGATAGGAATAAACAAGCATGACTGAACATAAAATTTGATTACGGTTGCGATTGAATATCATAATGTAAGAAATAGATGATTACTCCAATAATATCAAATGATAATGAAGAATACAGAAATGAAAAGAGTCACCATTCTTAAATAAGATCGACTTCGATTCATTCGATGAAGTTGAATTACGGATGGATACTGAGATTCTAAGCTCCTATCTCCTTTTTCCGTGATGAGTCTGAGATTTTTGGAATATCTTCACTTTTAGAGAGATGTCTATATCTCTCCCCCTTGTGTGTTCCTCTCCCATGATATTTATACAAAAAACTTTCTTTACCCATCGGTTCTTAACTGGAGTACCTATATTCTTGGAATATTCCGTAGAATATTCCTCTAAAATATCTAAGTGTTGAACTAGCCGTTCGGGCCGAATTGTGTACTCGACCTCGACCGTGGCTAAATCATTCGCTGATATATTGCTTCCTATACATGACTTCGACTCAATTGATTCTTAGTCGTTCTTCCTTAAGTAGAATACTTTTGATCAGATTTTTGTTCGATTCTATTCTGTCTCTCTTGACACTCTAACATGTCAAAAGATCCATTTTATGCTAATAGTCCCTCTTTCTTTAAAATTGTTGTTCCACTTATTGTCATAAAAGGCAGTAGATATAATAGTAATACTTTGTTGGGTCATTTGGTTGGGAAATAAGTTATCCCATAATTAATTATCCCGAGAATAGTTATTTTGGGATTAGTTATGCTATTCTCCCATAGGAATAAAAAAATGCTATAATCCCGGGATAACTAATCCCGATATTAGTTATACCATGATTTTATTTCAACCAAACATGAGATAAACTCATCTCAAATTTAATCCCGGAATTAATTGTCCCTTATTTTTCATACCAAACGAGCCTTGTATGTACTGATTGGTACCATCTTGATATTTATGTAAGTCAACTGCTCAACTATTTCATCTTCATTTTTGGCTGCCCTCGTCCCATTTTGAATTTTGAGCCAATTTGTAAAATTTTGTGAATTGTCATCAGACTGTTATTTTGATAAGCATTTTTGAAGATGAGTTTCAAAATATTTTAAATATGAGTTTCACGTACCATTTTTCAAGTAAATATTATTTTTCCTCATAAAAGTTTAATTTTTTTCCAAATAAAATGTATGTCCAAAAACTACGGTTTTTTTTTTAACTTAACTTCAAAAACTACGGGTTTTTTTTTCAAATCTTATGTTTTTATTTCCAAACGTCTAGACACAAATCTTATGGCATATTTTAAATCACGAGTATTAAAAGTATTGTTTTTCTTAAATTTTGTGGGGAGACAAACCATATCACATAAATATATAAATTAAAGAGAAATTTTCAGAAACCACTATGTTTTAGTGATTATTAGCTTGCTATAGCTACCATTTACTAAATTACTTCCTATAGCTATGTTTTCAGTTGTTATAGACTCTATTCAACAACTGAAAACATGGGAGTCCAGCTAAGCAGAGAATGTATCCGACTGTATTCGCGAGCTGTATTCGTGAATACAGTAACGAAATTTGCAAAAATAAGGTCTTCAGCTCTTGAAAAACGGTAAGTGAATCAGTTAAAGCGATAGACTCCTAATATGACTCAACAAACTCAATTATAACACACAAAATTTATATTTTCAGTTATAAAAAAGATTAACCAAAAAACACCCCAAAAATAGAGCACTCTTTAGAGATTCAATCCATCCTTTCTTTTTTTAGTGGTATCTTTACTAAAATATTTTTTAGTGGTATCTTTACAAATATATTTGTATATTGAAATTATATAATTATATTGAATACAGTTAAATACATTGAATATATGAAGTATAGCAGGTCATCTATAGTGCAAAAACATGTGAATACATATTGCAGATACATTTGAATACATATATACATCTGAATACATAAATTATATTAATTAAAAAAACATATGAATACATTCATGAAATACATCTAGACAGTGAATACAATGAAATACATGGAATACAACGAGATACATTGAAATATAATAAAAAAAAAAGACAGTGAATACAATGAAATACATGGAATACAGCGAGATACATTGAAATACAATCAAAAAAAGGTAACAGACTCTTCAAGTTCCTCAGCCCCAAACTCCATTCCCAATCCACCGATGTCCAGACCGCCACAAGGTGGGATGTCGCTGCTGGTTAAATGAAGACAGTTGGCGAAGAAGCACCGATTTAAAGTATCAAACAGAAACTAGAGACAAAACTTCTTCAGATCTCACAAGGCAAACATGAACAATCAATGCAAAATCTATGAAAAATTTAGAATGTGTAACACAACTGTGTGAAAGAAATTGCCGGTCGGAGGAGGGGGTTAGGTGTGACACAACAAGGAAGGGGGGAAGCGGTCGCCGACCGGATCTGTCGTTGGCGGAACACAACCCCTGCTAGGGTTTCTAAAAGCAGGGGAGGAAAAAACCGGGGGAAAAAGAGAAGAAAGAGGAAAGAGAAAGGAGGAGATGGGGAAGAGAGAGGGAGAGAGAAAAATAATACACACCGCATTTAATGGCTTAAAGGTAGGAAGTGGTCATAAATAGATATTTTGCTATAAAAATTAAAAGGTAGCTATATGAGATAATTTTTTAAAAGGGTATTTATTTATAATAAATAAGGTATCAACCTTTGCTATAGGAGGTAAAATTTCCTAAATGAAAATAGGGAAACTACCACCTATGTCCATATATAAATTATAAGTAGCTTATTACAAAAATTGGTTAATTTATAAAATATTACTAATATTAGCTAATTAGCTATTTGTAGCAAAAAATGTCAAATTTTTGTTTTTTTTTGAGTGGGTGTTATTAGAATAGATTAGGTACATTTTAAGGAGCTTGAATCTCAATTTTGGGATGATTTGGCGGAGTTTTAAGGTGGTTTGAATTGAAAAGTTGAAGTAGAAGATAAACATGAAAAAATGATATATCTATCATACTGTATATCATTTGTGTATCACATATATATTATATTTGTATCAAGTATGTATCACATATATATCTATGTATACATGTGTGTGAGATACATACGTGATACATGTTTGATACATGTGTCGCAGAAGAATTTTTTGACCTGAATTTTAACTACCAATTTTGATATCAAATCAGTCCAAATTACCTCCAATCTTCCTCAAATTTCGTGTATTGGCTCATCTATATGTGTTCAATCAATTTCAACCATATCCATTAAAAAATGTCTTTTTTTCCTTAGAGTTTTGAAATCTTTACGTCTCGCATCTAATGCTGTTGATCACGTTTAAAAATATGGAAAAATCTTTACATGTAATTATTGAAGAGAATGAACTTTATTTATTTGAGTTTTTAATTTTATATATACTTGGTTAGTTTTGAAAAGTTTATAGCCCCGTTTGGCCATGTATTTTGGCACCGTTTTTTCAAATCTTTTTTGAAAACATTGTTTGTTCATAGATTAATGATCTATTTTTGAAAAATTTCTGAAATTATTTTTCAAGTTCCCAAAATTTAGTTTAGGGTAAATTTTGGATGAAACTTGTTCTCCCACTCACAAAACTTCAAATTTTTTTCAAATAAAATGCATGTCCAAACATAATTTCAACTTCCAAAAATTATTTTTTAAAAATTATTTTTCAAGTTTCAACTAAATCTATGTCCAAAGTTGCAATTTATTAAAATAGGTAATTGGGAATGGGGCACAAAGTTCCAACACAGTAATCCTATTTCTCTCGCGTTCTCTGCTACTGCTACTATCTATAAATAATAGATACGAACCATAAGCTCTGAAGAAACAGCTAGAAAAGAAAGTTCAAATGAATAGCTCCGTCAAGCCTCTCTTCCACCTTCCCAAGGTTGAAGAAGAAGATGAAACATCAGGAATGTCCATGGCTTTTCAGCTTAGGAAAAGGCACGAATCGTCCTCTGTAACATTCAGGAATGCGGCAGAGACAGTAGTGCCACCAAAGAAGGTGGAAAGCAAGCCCAGATCTGAAGACATTAACGACAGTGCAGAGGCTTTCATAAGGAAATTCAGGCAGCAGCTGCTTCTTCAAAGAGTTGAGTCCATAGAATGAGCAAATGCTTAATAGGGGGAACATAGTTATGAGTAACTATTTCTTCTCTGTCCACTTTTCATGTCTTCGACAAATTATTGCATTGTGTTACTATGTGTCCAAGTGTAAATGCTATGCTGAATGAAATGCAAAATTCGCTTGTTATTCCTCGTTTCTTCTGCTTACTGTTTCTATTCCTCTATTTCCCCTTATTTCTGAATTTTCCCCCTCTGTTTCTTTATTCTCCTTTGCTTAGTTAGTTTATATTTTCTTTGTATGTCAAAGGTTAATTTGTTGCCTTGGGTTGGGTGTAAAGGTTGGGGTTACTGTTTCTAATTTCTTTTTATTGGAGAGTTCTTTGACCTACATTTTGCAAATGAATAAAATTGCACCTTGTGATACAAGTAGTAATTTTGATATAGGGCTGAAAATGCAAACAAACGGCAGGTAATGGCTTTTGACTTTCCCTTCCAAATAAAACAGCTGCCACGGACACTATATTTGACCGGTCAGTCATTGTCCCAACTAACTCCACCTAATCAAAATGAAAATTCCAAAGACTTGTTCTTCGTCTTCTTCAGTCAAAAGACAAAATTCATAATCATGACAGCAACTATTAGCTTGTGAGGGGTGGAAGGATTATATTGATGGCGAACAAAGAGAGGGCGTTGAAACTAAGAGCGGCGGCGGAAGCGGCAGTGAAAGCAATAGGGTTAGGGTATGATATAGTGGATGACTTGAGGTTGAAGTATTGCAAGGAGGAGTGTAGGTTGATCGCCATTGAGGATGATCAGGTGCGAGACATAGCTATTCCTGGGGGAATTTTGGTTCAGAATGTTCCCAAGTCCATCCATTGCGATAAAGGCGACCACATCAGATTTACTTCTGATCTTCTCTCTTTCCAGCAGGTGATTTACATACAACTCTTATTTCTTTTTGGTGAACCACTCACTTGTGCATATTCTCATCAACTCTGATTTACATCCAATAGTGAGTGTCTTGTGTCAGTTTAAAGATAAAATTTGAAAGTTCTCATGGCACTAGAGGCATTAGTCTTCTCACTTGTTTTAAATGGTATCAGGTGCAGTTTTATGAAGGTTGATTACCATATGCATTAAAACAACAATTTAATGCGTGAGATAAAAGAGTTGTGCTTAGCCTTAGTTTTGTGTGAAGGTTTTCTGTTCGTTGTAATCAATTCATTGTAAGGTTTATATAATCATTTTTAGTTTTTTGCTATGCATATAGTTGTCAATTATTCTGGGGTACCCGGCCATGCACTCCCTTGGTTCCTTTCCCTTCATGTTGTTATTACTCCTTTTCCATGTTCTACTGAAAAGCTAATATAATTATGATTAACACTTTTCGATTTTCAGTTCGACTCGAAATATCCTATGACATATTATCTTTATCCTTCTAGATGTCCGAACAATTTAACCAGGAAATGTCTCTTTCTGGTAAAATTCCAAGTGGCCACTTCAATGCTGCTTTTGAATATACCACTTGTTGGCAAAAAGACGCCGCCTACACAAAAGCTCTTGCTTTTGACGGGGTCTTCATCACCCTCTACAATATTGCATTACGGAAGGCTCAAGTTGCACTCCATGATCATGTTAAACAAGCTGTTCCTTCATCTTGGGATCCAGCAGCATTGGCAAGGTGATTAAAGCAGTTTTCTTGTCCAATCACTGCTCTAGTTTTTTCTACTTAGCTTTTTAGTGTTTGTAAGCCTTTTTGCTTCCTTTATTTTTCTGGTTGGGAAACCGGAATGCACTGATGAAAGAACAAGCTAGAGCTTGCTTGAAATAGTTATGTTGGAATTGTTTATTTCTGGAATTTGTGATACTCAACTTCTTAACTACCTCCAATCTTATATAACTTCGTTCTGGAGGTCTTTGGTGGTTTCTTTGAGAGGGTCTCGAATATGGCAAGTTGATGGAAGTTTTTGTTGGGTTCTCTGCTTGATGTGCGGTACACAGTAGGCACACGCCAATAGTTCAAATCCTGCTGGTGGACCAAGTCTGGTATTTAAGTGGAGAAGGGTAGAGGGATAGACCTATTATTCACCGAGTTTCGAAGTTGGAAACATAGATTTCTCGGTTTTATGCATATGTGTATATATTTACACACACACTCACGCACGTTCGTATGTATGTATGACTAGACATGCTATGTTCGACCATGAGTGTTTTCTGTGTAAGAATGGAAGATGAGCTGGGTAGGGTGATGTCTTTAACATCGAGCTCCAGAGGGCCTCTAGACGAAGAGTCGGTAAATCAAAGTCAACAAGTCAAAGTTGCTTTGCATTTAGGTTGTAACTAATGATTTGTTGCATTTTAGATTATGTAAGTATGAAAAAAAAAAGTTGCTCTTGTGTTGCATAATATAGAGGATTTTTATAACTGAGCAACTAGTTTTGAAATGACCCATAGTTGATGAAGGTGATTTGATTGTCACTATCTTGCATGCAACATTTTATTGTCTACCTAGTACCTGCCTGCAAAGAATGTTTCTGCCCCAGTAATTATGTTGTCAAAACTGATGAGATGCCATAGGGCCATGGAATTGGAGTGCGCCAAGTTTTTGCCATTAATGAGCCTTAGCTATGATATGCTATCCTGCAAATTGATGCTAAATAATGTTACTCGGAGACATACTTGACATTTTCTTAGTCTTACATCAAAAGCTGGACTTGATTGTAACTTCCAGGTTTATTGAGAAATATGGTACCCATGTTGTTGTTGGTGTGAAGATGGGCGGAAAGGATGTTGTATATGTGAAGCAGCAACATTCATCAACACTTCAGCCTGCTGATGTACGGAAAAGGTTGAAAGAAGTGGCAGACCAAGGATTTAGTGATGCAAATGAACAATCCAGCACTATACCGGTAAGCACAAATAGGGTGAAATGATTTTGTGATGTCAACTTTCACAGCCAAACACACACACACAGAGGTCCAATGTTTTGGATCTCATTTCCTTGAAATGCTTTGAACTCCAGCCTTAGTGTTTTATGTCAAATCTTTTTTTCCTTGATAAGATAAATCTTATGTCAAATCTTTAGTCTGTCTTCTCTAAAGATGGCAAGCGGGGAGGGGCAGCACGGGCGTATAAAGCCTTAGCCTGCAAATGTATCAACCCGCCCCGCCCCACCCCGCATAAGTTTATTTCATTTTATTTCTTTTTTCTATTTTGTTAATTAGCTGAAACAGGCAAATTTATACATTTGTATTCTTTAAAATGGTGTCTATGTAGAGGTGCTCATACATGCATTATATTTTATGATTTCATTCTACTTCTGTACATGCACTGCTGGCTTATGTATTGTTTTTAGAGATTTCAGAGACAATAAGCACATAAGCATGTGCCGTTCTTCGTAAATCAACTCTCAATCCATTTACTGTTGAAAGAAAATCAATCCATATTGTTCGTTCCAAGAACAACACCTTAGATTAACAATCCAGAAGACTTCATAGGATTTGTTAGAAGTTCCCAGAAATTGTATCTACTTCCATAATGGTTCATCTGCCATTACGACAAAAAAACAAGCAAATAGTGTTTTTTGATGAATAATAGAGAGTCATGTAAATAGTCCTCTAGATACTTGTCAAAAAGAAAATGTAATGATGCTCTGAGGGAAGAAAAAAATGTAAACGGTCTTCTAGAGGTCGCCCATGGTTGATTAACACAAAAGATCAGCATCCTAATAGTAATTAAACCCTTGCTTGCTTTCAGACTGCTTCATGAATATAATCCTGGCGACCTATAATTTTTGCCTCAGCTTTTTCCTCCTGAAAAATTTGATGCTCCTACTGAAGTTATATTCTTGTGCAAAATTTATCCCCAATTATTCCTTTATCACCTGATATCACTTGCTTACAAATGTCATTTCTATATGATTTAATCATGCATTTGAATGGCGGTTTTGAACTTGGATTGGATATCTCTGATGCTGCCAATTCTTATAAACGAAAGGACTGTAAGTACAGTTCTTTCAAAACTTCGGATGAGCACTATTTCGCACTTCAATGTTATAGAATTTCAAGTAATTAATGAACTTAAAATTCCTTCAAGAAACCTGACTGCAGAAGTGCCTTAACTTCAATACTGTTCGGCTTTCTTTTCTTAATATTAATTTTCTCACCTAAAATGTTGTCTCTTTTTTTCCATGCTTTTTTAAGTTCGTAGAGTTCTATCAGATGGACCATTATTTTTAAATTGCTGGTACTTGTCAGAAAAAGGATTCCTGTGCTACTCTTACAAAAATGTTTTAACCTAGCAATTGATAAAACTGAAACCATGTTGCAAGATTTTAATGTAAACATCTTAGTTTCATCTCTTTCAGCTTGCTAATAGTGACCAAGGGCTGCCCTTTGTGGATTCCACTACGTCAACTCTTCATTTTCACAAAGAGGTAACAGGTCTTGTGAATAGTAGTAAACAGAATTTTCCTTATCCTTGGAGTTTTTATTTCTTTGCAGTTTCAGATTGAAGATGTTTTAGAATAAACTTGACACAGTCAAGGTCTTTTTCCGATTTCAAAAAATTAAACTTGACTGTGACCTGTTTGGATATAATCCCAGGTTAATCCAGTAAAACGCCACTAGCACTTAGAAGTTCGAAAAGAGGATTGTGCAATAACCTTTTTGAGTGCCACATATACTACCCTGACTCTTGAGAGATTAGGTTTTTGAATGCTCTAGATGGAAGGGGAATCAAGTGAAAGTGGTATAAGCGTATGTCATTGGAAACTGTGGTTGAAATAAATGATCTAGGACAGAACAAACCAAAATGACTAAAAATCTCTTCGGTTTTTTCGTCTGTGTTTCACGTTCAGGAATTTTTAAGATTTTTATTCCATAAGGTGAGCCCAGTACAGTTCATGGGTGAGTATGGCTGGAACAATAGATAAATGAAGTTTTGAACATTGTGCTAACAAAAGAAGCTCTTAAGTGTACTATGTTATGAAATGACATGAAAATTGGCACCATTTAGTATCAGGACTGGCAATTCAATGCTTTATGTATTTCTCCTTTTCCCTTGAATACAAAATTCAGCAGAAAGAAGCAGCCACTAATGCTTGCATTAGGATAGGCTGTCTACATCACACCCCTCGGGTGCGGCCCTTCCCCGGACCCTGCGTGAATGCGGGATGCTTTGTGCACCGGGCTGCCCTTTTAAAAAAATTCAGCACAAACAAATAATTCCAATTTAAAAGCTTAAATGGAGCCATGTAGTCATGAACATTGATGAAATATTGGCTAAAACAACATGACATGTAACTAATAATTTCATTCAGATGATGGGTTTTAAGGGAAAGAGTGGTGACTGCAAGCTTGAGATCTTAGGTGTAATTTTAAAATGGCAGCTCGTAGCCATGTTCTTGAAATGTGTAGTTTTTGACTTGGTTGTGGGTAGTAAGTGGTGGGATACGCCTTGGTATTTGGTGGTATGTATTGGAGATGGTGGTTAAACTGGAGTAAAATGGACAGCGTGACAGTGGAGTTGGAAACTGTCAGTTCGGAGATGGGAATGGCAGTTGATGGCTAATCCTTGTACCTTCTATTAAATACTGTGTGGTTAAGAGTCGGGGTAGTGGCTCTTCTTCTCTTTTAGAGATTAATAGGGAGGTGAGCATGTGAAAGTTGGCATTGGTATGGAATTTTGTGATGTGGAGGTTTTGCTGCTGCACATATGTTCCAAACAGCTATTTAGAAGGTAGAAGTTTGAATTGAGGTTTTTCCTCCCATGGGATGTGATCATGTGAATAAACCCCAAGTCATAAAACCCACAAGAAATTTATTCCATATCTTTGATCTAACAAAAACTAAAGGACACAAGGTTTATGTGTAAAAGTAGAACGAATGTGATAATGATATAAGGTTCAAAATGCTGTTGCAAGTTTGCATGATTTATTTTTGTCATGATGGTGTGAGATTTTTTCAGAATGTAGCTTTACCTTTGGGAGTCAAGGTTTTATCTTCTTTATTTGTATTGCATTTGTTTATTGACATATTCTAATGATGCTTCATCATTACGTATGCATTTTATTTTATTTTTATTTTTACTTTTAAAATTTTTATCTACTTTTTCTTTTGTATATGAATAACATCTAATGAACTTACTTCCACTTTCAGTTTGATATTCACGTTTTTTTCCTTTCCTTCAAACATTTTTGTTGTGTTCATTATTTGGTTATCTATGACTATAACCTTCATGTTCCTTTTCTGTTCCAACTTTGACATCAGGATATTACATTCCTCTGGAAGAGGAGAGGTGGAAGCAGTATCAGAAATCTGCCACATAAAAGGTGGTATCAAACTGTTCCAATTGAACCTGATGTGATTTCAATGTCATTCATTCCAATATCATCATTATTGAGCGGGATTGATGGCAGTGGTTTTTTGAGCCATGCAATTAACTTGTACATACGTTGTAAGTCTTAATATATCTTTTACATAATATCGAGTGGTGTTTCCTGATTCATCTTAACAAAAGAATATCCTGCTTGCCTCTTAGGAGTGTAGCTACCTCTTTGTTTGGCTTTAAACTATAGAAAGACCTGTCCAAAGAAATAAAAATATTGTAAAATACAGCTTGCAGCAAAATCCTGCATCGGCTAAAAAGTGTGGTTAATATTTGGATTCACGTTCGTTAGTTAGAAATTTATGGAGGATACTGAAATCCAAAATCCACTCAATGCATAAATTCTGTAATCCACAACTCCTGATATTACGAGAAATAAGATGACTATTGTGAATTTATGGCTGTAGATGTTTTAAGCTAATACATTTAAGCTCATCACTTAATTTGCTTACTAGGAAGGCAAATATCATGATTTGTATCGTTGTATCTGTCATGCAGATAAACCACCAATTGAAGAGCTTTATCAGTTTTTGGAGTTTCAGCTTCCAAGGCAATGGGGACCTGTGTTTGGTGAACTTCCTCTTGGTCCCGAGAGGAAGCAGCAAAGTGGTAAAACCCTGAAGTTCAGTTTAATGGGCCCCAAGTTATATGTTAATACAAATCCGGTAACAATTTCTTCAGCTTTTACACACCTATTACTTGTGCGGCTATGATCTCTTTGTTAAATGTTAACTAATTGAAGAAAAACAATGTTTCACATACTACCAGATATTTTGAACGATTCATCTCTCGTGGGACTGGTTCTTAAAAATGCTAGAATGTATGCTAAGACAACTGGCTAGCTATTCCTGCTCTCAAAAAAGTTTGTAGTGAATCATGTGTTTATTTATTTTGATATGGGGCTATATTTTGCAATGCTAAACAATGTTCATAAAGGTTGATGAGAAGCCCAACCTAAAGTGGAAGAAGTTAAACATAGTAAATGGACAACAGAGGAAATCTTAGCTCTATAGAAGGGATTATTATGGAACTACAAATAATAATGATAAATATATACACCTACTTGAACAGGCATGGAAGAGCCCGGTTCTTTTGTTATTCATGGTCTTGTTGTATCTTTTATTATTGGACGAGCTAATAGATTTTACAAACAAATTGTATGATATCAAGAGTAAAGGAAACCAAAATAATGAAGTTCCATTTCTACAAAATCGGTCCAATCATCATTGCATGTTGGTACTATCATTAGAGGTTGGTGCAATTAAAAGGAAGGTGCGATTTTTGAACTTTGCATATATAGAAAGGAGTGCCACGTATAATGCATGAAAAATGTAACAGTAAAGAAATATGATTACTTGGATGTGAAATATTGGCCTCTTTCACTCTCAAAAGCTCTCTGTTCCTTACTCCATGTAGTCGTTATCACTGTTTGATTTCTTCCTGATCTACCCATTTTTTGATTCCATCTCCCTAGTAATTTTTCTTTAATAGAATCTTCATTTAGCAGATATGAATTTTTTCTTGCATCAAGCTCCCCAATTTTGCCACAAATCGGCGACCTATGAGAAGATGAAATGTATCTTTCGATGATACATTTTATTATTTAAGAAAAAGGATAAGGATCCTTCCTGTTAATTAGCACACATTGCACCAACTCTCATGTGTTCTTTTCAATCCTTAGATTGTTAGCCGTTATGATAGCTCTCTATTCAGCTCTATGCACTAAAAGTCAACTTTAGTCGAGCACTGCTGTTTCACTGCCTTCATTTTCAATATTTGGAGATCCCATAGACTTGTGTCCAATTCTAAAGGGTGTTTCTGCTACTGAGATGATTTGACCAATATCGTACTGGTCAAATTACTTGCCTGGCCTTCTATCTTAGAATTTATGTATTTATAAGGAAGAAATGATTATAATGAAATTGGAAGAAGTGGTAAGCAGTTACAAGTTTATAGCAGCCTATTGTTCAACCAATCAATGCTTTGTATATTGATATTTTCCTTGCCTGTACCTCTTTTTTTTGAAATTTTCATAGGTGGATGTGGGTAATAAGCCAGTCGTCGGCCTTCGATTGTATTTGGAAGGAAAAAGAAGTAATTGCTTAGCGATCCATTTGCATCACCTTTCTTCCTTGCCAAAAAGTCTTCAATTTCAGAATGAATCATATGGAGATGCCAGCAGCTCCTCTGACCGGAGGTATTATGAGAAGGTCCAATGGAAGAGTTTTTCACATGTATGCACTGCACCCGTAGAATCCGATGATGATTCCTCGATCGTCACAGGGGCCCAATTTGAAGTTGGAGAATCTGGTATGAGAAATGTTCTTCTTTTACGCCTTAAATTTTCCAAAGTATTAGGCGCCACAGTCATAAAGAGAGCTGAGTGGGGTGGTTCCCCTCCTCAGACTGAAAAATCAGGAATCGTCTCATCTATAATAAGTTCCCATTTTTCCTCCGCTCAAAAGCCATTACCACGACCATCTGAAATTCACATAAACTCTGCACTTTATCCGGATGGTCCTCCAATGCCAGCACAAACCCGTAGACTCTTAAAGTTCGTTGACACGACAGAGATGTTGAGAGGACCCCAGGATCAACCTGGCTACTGGATGGTGTCTGGGGCTAGGCTTGTAGTGGACAATGGTAAGATTTCTCTTCGTGTTAAGTTCTCTTTATTAGCTGTTGTCTTGCCAGATGAAGAGGAGCCATTGCAAGGCTAATATATAAGGGTGTAGTAAGGAAAAAAAATTGGCTGGAGATTACTTAGCATATTTGTTATTTTGTTACTGCAATGTGAAATAGTAGGAATTTGTTAGGCATAAATATATCTCATGTATGAATGGCTTTCGATAATGTACAATCTGTAAAAAAGATGTTCTTGTGATTGTAATATAATATAATTTTTTTTTTTTTTGAAAGTTGAAAAAGAAAAGAACGGAAACTTCTGTACATTGCAATTAAATAGTTTGTGTCTCCTCTATTTTGTATTACTAGTGTTAGTATACGTGCGTTGCACGTGTACATCACGTCAATTATTATTAAACGTATACAAGATGAAAAAATTATTGAAAAATAGCAGTTGAAGTTAAAATGAATTTAATCTATGTTTAAATAATAAAAATTAATTTACATTGATAGAATAGTTAAATTCAATATCTTTTGAACATGCAAGAGATAATGAATTTAGTTGGATTAGTTAAATAGTATTTGATTATAAATAATTTATTGTATCAAAAATAAATATGTTATGTCGTTATATTTCAGCTAACATCTCTTAGTTTTACATTCATAATATTATTACATAAGAAAATAATGAATTTTCAAAAAGGCAAGTAATGAATATAAGTAAATAACGAAGATTTTGTTATTAATTATGAATTTTAGACAATCGATCATTTTAACATAAGTAAGAGCTATCTCTTTCGGTTGATATAAAAAGGAGTATAAGAACTTTATGCTAGTTCATATCGTGTAACGAATCAATTAGTTTTTTACTTTTCTAAAAAATAAAGAAAATAATATTTAATCTTAATTTATCAAGATTCTAAAATAGTTATTTTATGCAGAAAATGAGGTTAAGCTACTTTTATAACAAAAGAGATTAAAAGTTTAAAAGGGTTCTATGCTCTTTACTTTCATTCTTTGTCCTTTTCTCGGATTGATTTCACTCACATTTTGTCGATGATAAATATTTTGTACTTGAGTTTTATACTTTTATAATACTTTAAATAAATATATATTATTTTGAAACTTTTAATTTTAAATCATCTCAAATTTTAAATATTAAAGTGTATTTAAAATTTTATTGAATAAAACTTTTATTTTCAATGTGTTCAAATAAGAAAATTTACGTAAGATGAAATATTAATTAATTTCAATTTATTAAACGTTAGGAGATCTTATATATTCGTTCAAATAAGAAAAAAAATTAATAAGCAAATTATAATTTTAGCTAATAATAATTTTATTTTAAAAGTGTTTAATGAGAAAAGAATCTATAAAAATAAAATTTAATTGATTTAGTCATAAACGTTAGGGATTCTTAAGTATAATCTAAATAAAAAATAATTTCTTAAGCTAAATGTTACTCCATTAATTTCAACATTTTAAATATTAAAAAAATAATAAAATACTATTTTTTGTCAAATGTAAAATCAAATTTACAAAAATTAAAAAGCCGATTTTCTTGAAATTTAGTGCATTTATAATTGCAAGTAGATTGACAGATTAACTTATTTTACATGCTTTGTTATGAGCAGAGTTACGCATCTTGACCTAAGTTATATTCCATACATTAACTCTAAATGAACATTTCTTTTTAGGAGAGTGTTTATTTGTCTATCGTTCATTAATGCCTAGAGCAATTGCTCATGCATTTTTGGACGTGTTTTACGGTGTTTTCCTCTTTTCACATGTAAGTTTCAATTTATCTTTTACGGAAGTCACTTTAGAATTCTTATAATTTATGAAAATCAAGCTATTCAAAAAATAATTTTAAAATCCTAAATGTTAGGACTTAATACACAGTTTAAATAAGGAACAATTTAATAAATAAAAATTTAGTTGATTTAAAATCCTAAAAATTAGGAAAATAACTTAAATTACTATTTTGTCTAATGTGGACTTCTATTTTAAAGGGTAAAAAAGGCGAACGACATTTCGGTAAGAGCCTTCGTGATTTTAATATAGTGATATACGCGTTACGCGTGTATTCCATCTCAATGAGTATAAAATTTTAAAAGAATTATGCATATTTTATATTGACATTCATTTGAATTATAAACTAAAAGGTAAAAAGGAAGGTATAAGTTTTTGAAAATGATGATTGTTGATTTTATTTAGATTTTTTTTATAATTAAATTTTTATTAACTACCAAGTGAAAATATTATAAAACAAGCTCAGCTATTGATCTTATTTACCTAATTACTCAATGAAGGAAGAAATTCGCCTGGTAAAAATACTCAATCAACTCAATCAATTTATTCAACTTAATACTTAGTTCAATTTTATAAGTTTATTATTTTATTTCACAAGTTAAATTATGACAATAAAAGATACAAAATATAACTTACATGTGACAAATAGTTATGGTCCAGTTTTAATGACTTATATTAGTTCAATTCAAGGTGATTTGATATCAGCTTACACATATGAATAATAAATTAAATTAATCAGATTTTTTTTGTAATATTACTTCACTTAATAGTTCTTTATAGACAATTGTTTCTTTGTGCATATTCCCTATATTGTCTCCAACATGTCCTGGAAATACATTAAAAGGAACAAACATTGAATTAAATTCTTTTGCTAATTAGTGATAATAGGTGAATTTGACTATAATCACGCACCAAATAATCACCTTCTTGTGAACTTTTAATGTGGAAAATGACAACAAAATGCTCTTATTAGTGCTTTACATGATTTGTAGGTGAAATAGGTGTAAGGAAGGCTAAGGAGCGGTTTTGGAGTCAATTATTGATGAAAAGAGGCTAATTGTTGAATTTTCAAAGTAACCCATTCAAAACAGGCCAAAATGCCCGGGTACAAGTTCCACCGCGACCGCGGTGAAACCGCGGTGGAAGGCAGTCTCTGAAGGTTGAAGATTCCGCGAAGGCGTTTGACCGCGGTTCTACCGCGACCGCGGTGGGTACAGTAAACTTCGGGGACTTAAGTGTAAAATACGGGATTTTTAGACCTAAACCCTATTTAAAACGCTAGACTTCGCCCAAAAGAAGGGGGTATTGATTTCTAAGGGTTCTTAGCAAGAAAAACAATTGTGAGAAAGTACTCTAAACATCTTTCTTCTTTTCTTTTGATTTTATGATGAATTCAATCTTAGTTTATTCTCCCATAGTCATGAGTAGCTAAATTCCTTGTCTAAGGCTTTGATGGACCCTATTGAGTGATGAACTTCTTGTTTATGTGAATACAAATTGCTAGTTAAATCTTTATTTGTTCAACTTCGTGTTCGTTGTAGTTAATTGACAGGATCCTCAATTAGCTGTGCCTATTTAGTGTGCATAACTTGGAAAAGAGTGCATATTTAGGGTATTGTTGAACAACACCACTCCTAGATTATTAGAGGAATCTATAATTGCGGGTTTAAAGGCGGGATTAGGAATAATGAAGCATTGGGTGCAATTTAAATTGAATTGTGCGAATTTAAGCAAGCTAGTGTATCTCGGGAGAGTGCAATAGTAGATTACTGTGATTACTCGGGAGAGATTTGCGGTAAGATTAGCGTTCAAGATTGATAGAGATGTGTGGGTAAATTTGTATGAGCATAAACAGAAGGGATTTCATCAATAGGGGAAATCATTGCCTTAGCCTTTTTTCATAATTGTTTACAACCCTTCTAATTTAGTTATAGCCTTTTATTTACTTGCAAGTTAGTTATTAAAGAACAATCAACTGAGAATTTGAATATTTGGGAAGCTGGTTCTGAAGACTTGGTGGGTCTGAAGGTAGCAGTTGATAGGTTAACTCTCTGTGGGATTCGACTCCGGACTTGTAAACCGGATTATATTTGCAGCGACCGCATTGTCCTTTTATACGGCATAGTTAGGCGTGATCAAATTTTGGCGCCGTTGCCGGGGAGTTAACGGAATTATCAATTGCCATTGACAGAAATACAAAGATTCTTACTGTAGTCAGTTTTCTCTCTACCAACTTTTTCATTGAAAATTTTGACGGTCGTTGATCTGGGTACACAGGTGCATGCCTAGAAATTCTACGAGGACTAGAGAACTACTTGAAGGACTCTCAGACCCCGAGAAGACATTCCGGGCATTGAATCGTGCAAACAAAAGACTTCAACAATCGCAACAAACACACCAACTCGAAACTGACATGGGCGACGTGAACGACCCCAACGGGAACATCAGGGATGAGCAAATGGCACCTCCTGTGCCTGAGGGTGCACTTTATGACTGGGCACAACCCACAGCTGACAATCTGGCCACTGCCATTATTGTGCCTGCGATACAAGCTGAATCGTTCCAGATCACAAATAACATGTTACACTTGTTGCAGAACAAGGGACTTTTTTCTGGGACACAAACAGAAGACCCTCAGCAACATTTAAACGAACTTCCTGTCTATTTGCAAAACTCAAAGGCAACCGAACGTGACTCCGGAAGCAATCAGACTATTATTGTTTCCATTCTCGGTGACAGGAGCTGCTCAGGTTTGGCTAAACTCGCTTCCCATAAACTCTATAGCAACTTGGGATGAGTTGGTCAAGCAATTTCACAACAAGTTCCATCCTCCCAACAAGACCGCTCAACAAATTGATGAGATTGTGAG